GCATATGATTTAATTTAAGGGTATCAGAATAAAGGGGGATGAATACATATGCACTCAAAAGATTTTTGATTGGGTTTTTTTTTCTAAATTATGACCTTTTTGTATTGTTCTGTAACAAAAAATCTTAATAAAACAAATCAAAGTCTGTAACATGTCTGTTACATGACAAAATATGAAAAGTTCATGAATACTTTTGCAAACTACTACATCTTCCTAAGTGAGAATGCTGGCATCAGAATCTCAGAACAAACATTTAGGTACAAAATACAATCAATGTGACCTACTGCTTCCCTTCCTGACTTGGACAGACCGTGATGCCCGGAGACCAGCTGTCAGCGCCATGGAGCCAGAGTTAGGGACAGGGCTGCGATGGAAGACCCCGGAGAGGCGGTTGGTTTGGTGACGGATGCTACTCTTACTCAGCTGTCTGACGGCTGCGCCCTCAGCCAACCTGCAGGTGGAGGAACTGCCAGTGGATAATCCTGACCTGGAGGAAGAAGCAGGAGAGATGAAACTGAACAAAGATGGAGGAACACTGGAGCAAGCCAGCAAGAGTTTAACAAATTATACAAAAAGCAAACCGAAAGAGAAGAACTTTTAACATTTTTTTCTTAAACACAGAGAACATACGTTTCTCTAGCCAACCATTGTCTCCTCCAGCATGCCTGTGCTCAGCTCTCTCTGTGCATAACTGAAACAATGAAGTGTTGTTCACCCCTGACCAAGACTCTAAGCTTCTTATAGTTCAAAGGTTCTATGCAGTTACCCCACAGTCCCCAGACTAGGATTTCACAGCTTCTAATTCTGATTGTTCCATTGGTGCCGGTGAAAGTCTCTGGTTATAGGCATTAGAGAGTGATTTCATGTGAGTAGAGACTTTAATATATCATTCATCTTTATTTAGAGGAGCATAAGAGCTATAGTTGTACTTTTGATTCTAAATTGATCCATGTTGACAAACAGTACAAAGAAACACAAATTCTTTCAAGTCTAATGTTGTACAAATCAGGGCATCTATCCAGGTAGGTTTTAAGTAGATGCAGTCCAAATAGGTGATTTTTTTTTTAACCAGAAAATGAGACAAAATGCAGTCAGCATCTGAAAACCAAGCACTTCTTTTGAACACAAGACAGAAAGTAAGAGTCTGACGCTGGAAATCAAATGCACTTGACTAACGGGTAATAATGCGTGGAGGGGCTGAGTGTTTTGGCAGTTTGTTGGTCTGGAGCACAATGTCAACACAATGTCAAGATGCAACGACCTCAGCACTGACTTTGAGAGAAAACTATTTTTGCCACCCACCTGAATCATTTCAACACTATTTATAAACCTTCAGATAAAACATTTAAAACATCCCCCCACAGGTTCTCTCTGCAAAGTTCCCAAAACATTTCCTCAGGGGGCCGGAGTTGGTATGTTTACATTTTTATGTTTGTGATAAAATCGTTTAGAAAGAGTTTGGTTTTGCGGCATGTTTGAGCAAATCCATACACAGCATATCAGCCCCATTACTGCCTGAAATGCTGTATTGCAGAGTGCAGGCCACATTTATTGGCACCCCTGATACATATGTGTAAAAAAACATAATATAAATTTAGCTTTCATTGCAGTAGCAGTCCAACCTTTAAATATAGTACATTCATCATAAAGAGAAAACAATGATGTTTTTAACAAAATTGTTGGTGTCAAAATTATTGGTACCACTTCTACTTTACTACCCCTTCTACAGCATCAACCTATTGTCAATACGACAGCACCTCGTCTACTCCGTAAAACATCTTACAAGGTGGTAGAATCCAGAAAGGGATCTCAGCACAATCTGTCTGGATTACCAACAATCCCGGGTCCTCTCTTCAGCCCAGAGATCTTAGGCCTGGAGCTGTGATGCCCATGGAAGAAGGTAGATTTTGTGTCAGGAGAACCACTTTCTGTGTTGATATAGCATCACAATGAGTCCAAACCGACATCCAGATTAACAAAAGAAATCATTTATGAGTGGAATATTAAAGTTCAGAACTAAACCTGACAGAAAACCTGTGGGCTCACCTAGGAAGGACTGTGGACAAGAGATGTCCTCACAATCCGATAGGTCTGGAGAACTTTTGGAGGGCGAAGTGGGCAGTTATTGTCAAGTAAAAAATGCGGGATGCTGATAGACTTGTATCAAAGACTGAATAATGAAACTGAATTAAAATGTGCTTTAACAAAGAGAACACGTTTTAGAAATATTCTCAACTTCTACATACTATAGGGACAATACTATAGGGACAATATTGTACAATGTAGGCTCTGTATTTCTTCAAGAAATTATTTAATATTAAGATTTGTAATTTTCTTCAGATATTTGAGGATTTAACCGAAGGTAATAAACGCGTTCGAGTCTTTAAAAGCACAAAAGAACCAGAGAATACGTTTGTATCTTTCCTAACTCTCTCCAGCTGCCCTGGCGTAACAGCTGCATGTTTCCAAGTGGGTCATACTCACTGAGAACCATCACTGTTCTTCCTTCCCAGCCTGACAAACCGTCTCTTTGTTGGAGCTTTGGAGAAACTCGGTGGTCTTGGAGGGAGAGAGTGCAACTCCTCAGTGGAATTTCTCATCTCTTTCATTCCTGTCTGGAAGTTATTTGTTTGTTGTTGTTGTAGTTTTTTTGGTGATTCCTACTCAGCTAAAAACTCCTGCAGTCAGATGTTATTCTGTTATTGCTTCTCGGCATGTCCCATCGGAGCTGCCGCACTTCATTTCTGGGATGTTCCCTCCAGAAGAGCCGCAGCGCAGAGCCATCCAGCTGCTGCGCTCCGGAACAGGCGCTGATGCAGATGTTTCCCCGCCTATCAGCCAGCTGTTGGAGCTGCTCAGTCCAGGGGGAGGTTTAACAACATAACCGCCGCAGTGAATCAGAGAGGGCAGATTCCACCTCGCTGGTTTCAGAACAGACTTACTCTTCAGCACTGGACGAGGCGGCGCAGATCCAAACTGATAAGGGAGCCGAACTACAGATGTGTCCCACTGAGCAGCTGGACCCACCGCACACACCAACTTTCAAAATACAACATCCTATTGGTCAAGTAGTTTTACCAGTTTAACTGCTTTAAGTCACTGTTATGAATATATTCAAGGGGACATCAGCCTCTGATGGGACAGGAACTGAGAATCATACCCACAACCTTATGCTTGCAAGACAATGACTCATCACAGGAAGCCACATCCGACACCTATGGCTTGGAAGAATTTTGACTTATACATCTTTGCAGAATTGTTTTAATTAAGCCACATCAGAGAGATTCCAGGCATGAACAGACTGTTTAATGTTAGGTCACGGCATCACAATCCGATTTCATTTAGTTGGACTTGTTAGTTTAGTTGTTAGGTCACCAAAAATCTTCAGTTTTTAGTTTTTTTTTGGAACCATTTGGAGGTGGACTTGCAGGTGTGCTGCTGTAAGTGCACTTGAGCTTAAATTCACAAACGGATGGTTGGACATTCTCCTTCAGGACTGTGTGCTGGAGAGCATAATTCATAATTTTATCAGTTACAGTGAAGTGCTTAGGTCCTGAAGTAGCAAAGCACCCTAGGACCATCACACTGTCACCACCATGTCTGACTGTTGGTATTACGTTCTTTTTACAAAAGACTTTGTCAGTCTTACTCTATATATAATGGGACGTACACCTTCCAAAACGTTCTATTTTTGTCTCATCAGCCCACAGAATGTTTCCCAAAAAGTTTTAGCGATCGTCAAGATGTTGTTAGGCAAATGTGAAACCAGCCTTTGTGTTCTTTTTGATCAGCACTGGTTTTTGCCTTTGAACTCTCCCATGGATGCTATTTTTTCACAGTCTCTTCCTTATTGTTGTTTCATGATCACTGACATGAACTGAGTGAGTCCTGAAGTGCTTTAGATGTTGTTCTGGGTTATTTTGTGACCTGCATGAGTTGTTAATGTGCTGAAAGATTTCAGTGACTTTGTTTCTCATCTGTTCTTGAATTTCTTAAGGAAACGTGTGTTGCTTTTTGAGGCTTTTAGCCTACTCCATGAGTCCTCAGATCAGGCAGTAATCCGGCCTATTTGTAGCCAGTTAAAATCACCAACAAAAAAAAAAGAGTTGACTTAACGAACTAACTGTGAGCCACCTTGAAAAAAGTCTAATACTAAAATATAGAATTCCTGCCTGATGCTAGTATCACGGGAAGTGCTGATAATATTTACTGCGCCGCTACAAATGCTAAAATCTGTTTTTGTTTTAAGCCCACAGGAATAATGAAGAATGTGTGTCACCGTCACTGCTATGTAACCACCAGGTGGCGCACTCTGCTAATAAAACAGTTGAGCAGTTCAGACATGGGATATTTGATTTCAGTACGTGGTCTTGAAGGCAGCATAGTTTTCTCTAAAAATCTTGGCTGGACTTTACAGAGGAATCTCTGATCCAACCCCACTCCTAGGTTGGGAATTAGCTGACAAAAAGGAACATGGTTTTTGGCCTTGATTCTTAAAAAACAAACTGCATCTGTTAGGTACCCCTCTGTAATGTTCTACCTGAACTAATGTTTCCCAAATTAATCCATGTGAAATGGTTTATTCAATTAATCATGAATTGTGGTTTTAGATGCAGTACAGTCAGTGTTCCAGCCTGAACATTCTTCAGATTCTTTAAATGGTTCAGTGGCGTTATACACTGTAGAGGGAGACATGCAAATCTTTTCCAATCTCTCTTTAATATACTTGCACAGTGCCTTGCAAAAACATTCATTACCTTTAAACTTTTTCACATTTTGTCAGGATAAAACCCTAAACTTATAAATAAACTACACAAACAAGGTATTTTATTGGTATTTTATGTGATAGGCCAAGACAAAATAGTTAAAGCGAAATTAAAGTTTTTTAGTGTTTAACTGCAAATAAAAAGTGTGTCGTGCATTTGCACACTACCCCTTATCCTCCAGTGCACCTTAATAAAATCACTTGTAATTAATCACAATTAATTCTTACTTTGGCCTGCATAGTGGTGCAGCTGGTAGCACTGTTGCCTTGCCTAGCAAGAAGGTCCTGGGTTCGACTCCCAGCCAGGTGAACATGCAAACCCTTGCATGTTCACCATGTGCATGTGTGGGTACTCCGGTTTACTTCCACAGTCCAAAAACATGACTGTAAGGTTAACTGGTTTCTCTAAATTGCCCTTAATTTCGAGAAATCTAAATTGACCTTAGACGTGAATGAGTGTGTGCGTGGTTGCTTGTCCAATGTGTGTCTGTGTTGCCCTGCGATGGACTGGCAACATATCCAGGGTTTATTCCGCCTCCCACCCATAGACTGCTGGAGATAGGCAGCAGTCTATGGGTCCACCTGTGTGTAATTTAATCTCAGTATAAATGCCTACCTTGACTCGATTTTGATTAAACTATGAACATCTCACTTACCAAGACTGGGAAGCCCACCTAAACTGATCGGGCAAGGGGTGCAATAATCAAGAAAGAAAAATATAGCCAGAGATACAGTGGAATGTTTCAGGTTATGAAAATGTATACAAATGTTAGAATGATCTCGCCAAAGTCCACACCTAAATCTGTGGCACAATTTGAAAATTGTCTGGATGTCTCTAGATGTACAAAGCTGGTAGAAACTAGCAGGTGTAACAGCAGCAAAAGTTTGCTCAACAAAGTATTGACTGGCGGTTGAGGGTTGTCTGAATACAAATCCATGCCACACAAGTTTGTGGCTGAAACACAACAAATGTGAATAAATCCAAGGGAATGAATACTTTTTAAAACATTGCACATCTTGTGTTTTTTTGTACCCATATGTTGAAAATTGTTAGCACTTTCTGTTTTTGTGTGATCCAAAATCTAAGAGCAGCCTGTTAGTCGGGGAAATCCCTCTTGGATTGTATGGTGAGTTTAATGAGCTTACACAGGAGTGGGTGGAGTCGCTCTGTCGAGGCCAGATTGCATGTAACATAATAGTGCTGATACCTGAGGACCTGTGACAGCTCCTGTGTTGTAACTACAACTTGAAACTTCCATCCCAGGCCGGCTAGCTCCACCATTTTCAGCTAGCTTCCTTCAGCAGTGTGAAACAGAAATCCATGTGTTTGCAGGCAAAGACAAACCTTCCTGCAGGTCAAGGTTAACTGTTTTAAGAAAGCAGAAAGGGAACAGAAGGGCTTAAGGATTCGTAATCAGATCATCTGATAAGCAAGGAAAGGGGCTGCATGTTGCCTGGGGAATTCAACAAAGCCTCACTTCTGGGTGCTCCTACAGTGGAAACTCTCTAGCAACAAAGCTGGCTGTAAGTGCTTTAGGTTGGTGGAAAAATAAAACCCGACAAAAACATAATTTCATCTGAAGTGAAACTCTGCACATATTAAGACCTTCTGAAAATTCATTCTGTAATTACTTGCTTCAGAGGCAGTAAATAAGTGTCATGATACCTCGTGTTTTGGTTTTGAACTCAAAGCTCAACTGAGAAGCTCAGTATCTCAGGGCTCCTTATCTCCAGTTGAATGAGTTAATGTGGCTCAACAGCTGCTTGAGGTACCCTTCTTTTGTTTGACTTTTTGTTACTCTATGAGACAGGGGTGGGATGTGGGAGAGGCTAAGGGGATGTGTTCTTCATGCAGCAAGGACAGTACTCTACAATGGATTTTCAGCTGTTTTTACAAGCGGATGTTTTGAATAATGCTTAAAACAGAGTTGCAAAGACTAAGAACAAAAGGGCTAGACAGACATTTCTCTAAGGAGTGCATAAGACCCGTCAAAGCTCTTCAGACTTCTCAGCACTCAAATTCTAAAAATCTGTACAGTTCAATTACACAGAATGACACGTCTTATTTCACACCCATTACAAGAGCATTTCAATAGGTTTTTCAGAAAACTGGAATATTATACTATAATAATAATAATAATAATAATAATATGGAATATAATGTCCTGGGCTAAAGAGTAAAAAGAACTAGACTATTGCTCAGTGGTCCACAGTCTTCTTTTCAGATGTAAGTCAATTTTGCATCTAATTTGGAAATCAACATCACAGAGTCAGGAGGAATAGTGGAAAGAGACATAAACCCAGCTGTTTGGGTCCACTGTGAAGTTTCCACACTAAGTGATGATTCAGGGAGCCATATCATCTGCTCCTGTTGGGATGATGTGTTTTATCTGGTTCAAAGTCAGCACAGTCATCTACCAGAAAGTGTTAGAGCTTCCTGCTTCCCTCTGCTGACTTTATGGCGATGCTGATTTCATTTTCCAGCAGGATTTTGCCCCTGCTCACAGTCTCAAAGTACGATAAACTGATTTAATGACTATAATATCACTGTGCTTACAATGGGCTTCCATTAGACCTCCACAGAACCACAGGCTGATTGCCTCCATGCCACGCCACAATAATGCAGTAATTCATGCAAAAGGAGTCTCAATCTACAGGGGTTGGACAATGAAACTGAAACACCTGGTTTTAGACCACAATAATTTATTAGTATGGTGTAGGGCCTCCTTTTGCAGCCAATACAGCGTCAATTCGTCTTGGGAATGACATATACAAG